ATATATTTAATTAATAAAATATATTCTTAATTAATTTATTTATAAATAAAATTTTAAAAATTTTGAGATTTAAAATTTTAAACTTGATCTCTAAAATTTGAAATTTGTGAAACTTAAATTTTTAGTTAAGAAATTTTTCCTTCTATCTTTTGTACGGGTGACAATGAGCTGAGTTGATCTATTAAGCATGAGCGCAGCTCGGCCCATATCCCACGAGCTTATAAATTTTATTTTTCGAAAGACCGAAAATAAAAAAAAATTAAATAAGGTTTAAAAATCCTCCTTTTTGGGACTATCGTGTAAGCTAATTAAAACTGTACATAAATAAATTATTTCATGTTCAATTTAATACAAGACAAAAAAAATGGAATTGTTAATAACGTTAACTTATTCTTGTTGTAATCTACAAATGCAATATCTAATGGGTGTGTTTCAATGCAATTAGGAGTATAAACGAACTGAACAATTCCATTCGATTCTTATTAAGTTAAAATTGGGTAATGAATATTAAAATTGAGAATCAACGGATTCGATTCTATTATCAGTTCTAGACCCAAAATCGAAGAATTGAATTGAAGAATGGAACCTCTCAATTTTTTGTAATAATCGAACTTGCCTAATTATTTCACCTTCTTTTTGAAAGGAAATTCGTCTATTTTTAGTGTATTTATTTACTTTTTTGACATTAATAAATGAAAATTTATTGGACAAGCTTGTTTTTTGTGTTTTTAAATTTTGACTGTGTTTGTCGTTTAATAAGATACAACATTATGTTAGATTATTGTGTTGTTTCAAACATCATGAGAATGAAAATAGTTGTTAAAATTATGATAATATTGAAAATTTAATTATGGCATGAAATCGAAGAGAATCGTATGATTCTGTTCCATGATTAAAGTCGGATTCGACAAATATTCTATTTACAAGATGTCGAATAATTTTTATCTAATTTTGTTCTCTTTAGAATTTAAACGAATTGAACTGTGTTCACCTATTGACATTTCGTCCTAATTTTGCGCTCCAAACCTAAGCTTATTATGAAAAAGTGAAACGAATAAATTTTTTACCAGAATATAAACTACGCAATTCAAACTTACTTTAAATTAAATACAAACATCGTTTGACTCCACATATATATCTTTAGACGAGGATCGAAAACAAACGCAATGAAAGAAATCATTGGTAAACTAAGAAATATTTGTTTGAAGCCAAACGTGCGCTAATTGTAAAACTTATGAGTATTTAGGACTATCTGTGAGTCGGTTCGGTTAGGTTCTGAAAAGAACTAAATCGATCCAAAACTTTCGGGTATTTAATAAATGGACCAATTGGGTCCATATATAATTATGGAACCATTCGGGTTCGGTTCTGTTTCGTTCCGTTCGATTCCATATCATAATTAAATTTTTTAACATTTATAACAACACTACGTAAATATAACTAATGATATTTCATT